GAATTAATTTTGATGCATTGACCTTTTTCCACTTCTCATGGTGCTGGGCAATGGAAATGTTTTGGGACTATAGATGTATATTAGGTACCCATATACTACACTTTGTATAACTATTAGGTTAAGGTGTCCCTATGCAAAACACGTGTTTTTTTTTTATCGTGGTCAAAGCCACGTATGCAGTATACAAAAAGATCTACAAAAAAGATCTACCACGTATGCAGTATTCAGAATAATAAACTAAAAAATCAATCTTTATAGACAAAATAACAACAGACAAAGAAAGGGGAAGTCCGAAACCCAAACACCAAAGTTGTAATACCTTAGTTCAGGGACTGTTATTAAAGAGCATCAAAATAAGCAAAGGTAACTGAACAAACATGTAAATACCAAAAATGTAAATAGGAACCTCTAACTTTAATCACATTACAAGAAACTAACAATTACGTACCAAGAAAACATGTAAATAGTGTCAACCTATAAAAACTAACAATTAAGTACCAAGAAAACATGTAATAATGTCAACCTAAAAAAGTGTTTCAATGGTTCCTATCCAAGCATTGAAAGTGTCTAAAAAATAATGTCAATCGATTGTGTGTAATGAAATACGTAAACTTCTCCAAACAACACGCCCAAAATAAACTTGAAATGCAGATATGAGCTCACCGCAATGTAGTGAAAAGAAGAAAAGTTTGATAAAAAAAGTAGAAATTTTTTGCCAAATCACAGCTAACATGTTAAACTGAGCAGACAAATGGACTTAAACCCACAACCAAAAAAATGTAAGAAGGAATATACCATAACAAATAAATGAAAAAGTTACAAAATACCTCTGTCATTGAATTTTCTTAATCCAGAACTAATAATGTGGTTTTAGCTGATGAAACACATAACCAAAAGGGAAAGCTATTGTAAACAAAGTTCCATCTCCTAATCACAAGTCAAAGAAAAATAAAAAGAAGAAAAGCAAGGAACATTCATTTTCAAACAGACATAAATGAGAGCATAAGTAGAATGGATATTTATTCAAAGAATCACCTGAGCTAGTTCATATTTTTCTGTAATCTGCACAGCAAACAGTCACCACATAACCACCTCAACTCCATTTTTCCCCCCAGCGAAAGGGCAATCCAAGAGACACCCATCCCGCAAGAAACCCACCCGCACCGTTAAGAAAAAGAAGAGAGAATAAATCCCTTCTCGAAAACCCAAAAGCCTCCCAACCGAGAATCCTCTGATATTGCCTTTGTGTGTGTTCTGCTAAAACCCAAAATGCAAACCCCCTTCACAAAAACATCAAACCAAAAGCCCCCTCAACCCAGAATCCTCTATGTGTGTTTTGTAAAAACCCTAAAACTGAGTGCGTATGTTTGTGGTGTGTGTGTGCAATGTGATATCGATCACTCTCCCGAATAGGGGTTAGTGTATGTTTGTGTATGTGTGTGAGAGAGATAGAGAGAGATCAGGGGTACTTGGGACTGGTGCTGGTGGTGTTGCTGACGAAGTAGCGGTGGTGCTGGTGGTTTTGCTGGGGGCGCGAGGGGGGTCAGAATTTTGAATGAGTGAGAGGTTGGAAAAAAAAAAGAAGAAGAAAGTCGGAGAGTCATGACTCGTCTGATAGAAGGGAGGGAGAAAAAAGAAGAGACGATTGAGGTGACTGAATATTGATTGATAGATAGAATTTTGAAAAATATTGTATGTGAAAAATGATGAATTTGGGGGAAAAATTTGATGATGTTGTGAATGATTTTGAGCCATTAGATGAAATGAATTGTGATCGTCTGATCAGCTTGTTGAAGCCCCGCTCTGTTTTATATTATAGATTCTTGTTTGAATTTCAATCCCTTCCAAGTCCACCACTTGTGATGTATTGGGTTCAAAATTTCGTAGCATTGACATGTGAAATACATCATATACTCCCAACAATTAAGTTGAAAGATTGAGTTGATAAGCCACTTTCCCAACCACTTGAATTACTTCGAAGGGTCCCATCTACCTCAGGGCTAGATTTCTTTTCTTTCCGAACAGCATTACTCCTTTTTTAGGTGACACCTTCAAGAATACATAATCGCCCACTTTTAACTCAAATGACCTCCTTCTTGATTCACATAACTCTTTTACTGGCTTTGAGCAATACGTAACCTCTCCCGAATCAATTGAATTTTCTTGGTGGTTTCTGTCACTATTTCTGATTCAAACAGACTACTTTCTCCAACTTCCACCCTATATGTCGATTATCTATACAACCTCCCACACAATGATTCATAAGGAACCATTCCATTGTTAGCTTGATAGCTATTGTTATAGGAAAACTCCACTAAAGGTAAATGCTCACTCCAACTTTCCTTGAAATCCAACACACTTCCTTAACATGTCTTCCACAACTTGAATTACCTTCTTCGATTAGCCATCTGTTTGAGGATGAAAGGCAGTGCTAAAATGCAAATTTTTTCCTAAAGCCTTCTACAAGCTTTGCCAAAACTTGTCCACAAACCTACTATCATAGTTCGACCCCCGAATATACAATTGACTCAAAGTCAACAATATATCCATTGTTTTCATAGGAAAGAAATGAGAAGTATTGGTAAGTCGATCTACAATTACCCCAATCACATTATGTCCATTGGTGGTCTTAGGTAGCCCTGACAAACTTTCTCTTATCTTTGTCAATGAACTGATAGAGGTGTCCAACTTAGAAAATTTCCTTGAGGTGCTGCTTAAGAGAGAGATAGTTCCTAGTCATATGCCCCACAGCACGATAATAGGAGCTTCTAAAATTTGGATTCCTCTTCACTGGATCTCCTTCTAACTTGTTTGGCCATTTTAAAATTGTTTACCTTTGATCTGAGACAGGATCTTGTAGATCGGTTCTTTAAACACTATATTAAATCCTATAAACGAGGACATGGAGATGAATCCCTCTTTCTCCTTCCCCTTCACTCGAATCTGAGATAGAATGTTTGACATCTCTTTTGCAACTGGGCATTTTCGAAGTTGATCTTGGTGCGTTTCCTGACCAAGATCGTCATCAATCTTTGCGTATTTCTCAACTCTTGCCTTGAGTTCCTCTATGTCTAACGCTAGATGCCTTGTCAATGATTAGTACAATGGATTCTCCTTTGGTAGACCAATTTTAAAAGATGCTAGTGTAGTCTCAGGGTTACAACCTTCAATATTGTTCATCATCTCCCAGTAACAGTGAGCGTGCTCTCGTAGTGTTTCCCCGTTTTTCTTTTTTAGTGACAAAAGTGCCCCGACATCCTTAGGCTACCAGCTACTAGTTTATGAACCAAATAGTGAATTTTTCGATGAGTTATCCCCATCTATCAACTGAATCCCTAGCCAGGCTTTTGAACCATTTCACTACCAACTCTCCTGGCTGCTACAGAATATGGTACATAATAAGACCTCATTCTTCCTGTGAACTGTCATTAACTTCCTATAATATCAAATATGGGCAGTTGGGTTCATTTTGCCATCATAAAGTTTGAAGTTCGGAACGATAAATTTACTTGGTATTCTTTCACGCTTGATCCATTTGGAAAAGGGAGATATTTCCACTCCGTCGATGTATTCCCTAGTTGTTATTCTTGCAAATTCCCTAGCAGATTTCTGCTCAGGTAGCTTCAATTTGCTATTGAGTTCTTCTATAATAAAGCATTTCCAAGCATCTACTTGGTTGCCTCTATGATTAGTTTTTTTCCTGTATTTTGTCTCTTGGGAATCTTCTCTTCTTATCTTCTTGGTCGTATGGGTTCCTTCTCTTTCAAGTGTGTTCTCCTCCCTAGATCTCCTCAGTTCTTCTTTCAATGCTTTATTTTCCTACCTAAATGCCTTTTCTTTGTTGTACGACTTCTTGAACATGGCGTCATGTGGATCTAATCAATATTGTAAGGATTGGATCAGTTTTATAGGAGCGGGATTATCTTCCCCGGCTCGGAAGGATCCATCGGTTGTGTATCATCTAGATTACCATCATCATATGGCTTGAAACTTGCTGATAAAAATTTATCATCATTAAGATGCTTGTCTTTGCTTCATACGCATCCTCCCAGATATTACAATCTAAGGGGAAAGACACTTTGTAATTTTGATTAGAATTTCGGTTAACGTCACGGCTTGCCGGAGATTCAATGTTGCTTTTCAGTTTTGACATTACTTTTTGTTCTAGGTGATTCCCAAAGACAGGGCCAATTGTAAGCGATAAAAAGAGATAAAGACATTACTTTTGATATGATCTGACTATGGTTGAAATATGTAACTCCGATGCTTAAGTTATTAGAAAATAGAGATAAAGGAAATTGCAGGGAAAATTGTGTGTACCTCTCTTGAACCTCAATGGTCCCCTTTAAAAGATTCTTCAACATTCTTCCTTTAGGGTTCCTTCTGCTTGCAAGGTGAGGTGGTACACCCCTATTCTGCCGAACTTTCAGTTATACCTTACTGAAATCTCTCTAACGTTCTATAATCAGCTAGATCTTCGGGATTCACTAACGATGATTTGCCATGACTTTAGCAACTTACTTATCTTATACATTCAATTTTTTGAATGATTGGTGATTTCTTCACTTAACTTGGACCGAGCAATTCACATCTTAATTAACCGAGCAAATCTTAACACGGCCAAAGCTATTCAAATCTTAGTCAAGCTCAGCCTAATCAACCCAGCATGTCTAGTAAATGGTCATTTGTTCTTGATCCGACCTCAATTAACTTGGGCTTTTCTTGCCACTACTTTGAATCATCAATATCTTAAATGCATACATGACCTTGTCATGTGCGCGAATCACTACACTAAGATACGTGGCCATAATATCATGCCTCTTCAACTAAAATAGCTTTCAAAAACACTATCAGTAATTATTTTCTTCTCTCCTTCCTTTGTACCGAACTTTGATAACCCATCCATCCCATTCGTTTCTCCTAGGAACACCCATCGTCACCACATAGGCAACCTCAAACCACAACAGCTAGAATCTTGAAGCAACCATGGGTGCTTTAAATTACTCAGGATCTGCATCAAACTTATTTCCCACATCTTGAACCAACCCAAATTCAACTCTCATAAACCTTAATTCTCAAAACATCCAAGTTCGATATTTTGCATTTGACCAAAACACATCATTGGTAAGAAATGAAAGGTTTAGTTCTAAGGTAAAGATAACAGAAGTGAAGTGCGCTATGCATGAATTCCTGAATTAGATTTACTGTTGAATGGAGAGAAATCAAAAGAAAAATAGGCAAATTTAGAAGCAAAATGGTAGATAAAGTGGCTGCAGAAAGTTTCAAAAGTGATGGGTTTAGGTTGGATGAGAATGATGATGCTCTCTCTCTCCCTCCCTCTCTCTCTCTCTCTCTCTTTCTTCAACATGGAGTTTGTAAGGATAAACTTTACCCTTATGCAGAATGAATCATCCCTCACGTGTATAACTACCTAGGAAGGGACGTGAATAGGTTAATTTTAATTTGCTCAAACAAACACCAAATTATAACCTAATTCTACCTGAATTACCTCTTCTTGAAATTCAATTAATCAATAAAAGTTGAGAACCCCTTATGGAAGAACAACCCTATGAAACATGAAGATTGATGTTAATTATTTGTCAATTTTAATGTTAACGCTAAATCTCTCATGGTGATCTAATCCAAGGAAGTAAGCAACTAACCAAGCACTATGTATAATATGAATGCTCACTCAATCAAATCAATCAACATATAGTGCTCATATGTGCTACAAATCGCAAGTGTATATAATAAAAAAATAAGTAACATAAGCAATTTGTTGACGGATAAACCCTCCTCAAAAGAAGCAGTAGGAAAGCACTCATAGGTTCACGTAAGCCTAATCCAATATCCCAATGTCAGTTTGTAAGTACTCAACTCTTATATCTTAACCAGTACTAGGGTTAGACTCCCCTTTCCTTCAATAACTTTCTCAGCTGAATCTCCCTCTCGACGTTATGAATAGTTTCACTTGAACTTCGCATCAAATGATTTGTTTAGGCCTTGAACTCTCCTAGGATGCACCCAAGAATCTTGGTATGCTCTCCACTAGGTTTGTTTGGAACTCCTAATCTAGATCTTCTTCACCAAGGTATGAGTTTGGATTAGAGCATAGTTTTAAAACTCGGCCCGGACATCAACCTGACAGAGGGACCGGGTCAATGGGTCACTGATTCAACCATTGGGTCATTAGTCGAACCAGTCATATAATAAAAAAATAAATAATAATTATAAATAATAATAAATAGGCTAAAAACACACAATAATTATGATAATAGTAGGAAACATGTAAAGTTAAGTAATGAAAAATCATCAAACATGTATCCAATGCATTTAATTTCTAATACAATTTGTAAATCTAAAGGTAAGCAGTAAAAAAATGCCTCTATTTAACTTCAAAACTCCAAGTCTCAGTCTTCAACTATGCATCAATCATTCAATCCAAGTATAATTCATGTAATTTGCACTCTTCAAAGCATAAATTAAGATTCATAAGGCAATAAATTCAACATCATCTCATTTCATAGCATAAAAAAGAACCATTTATTTAAAATCAATTTCAAGCCTAGAAATTTCTAGTATCAATAACATCCTAATAATATTGTAACCCACCAAAAAAAAAATGTAACCCACAAACTGGGAGACCAATGTTTTGAAGCTTAATATCACAGTGAACATACCCATTCATGTGAATATAGTGAAGTCCTCTTATTAATGACTTCGTGTATCACCGGATGTTTGATTCCGATAACCGATGTTCACCAAAATTTTTAAGCTCATCAGCTAAAGACCCTCTAGATCCAGAAACGTACTCCAACAAGACATTGTACAATTTTATCAGTTAAAAATCCTCCAATACCATCTTTTGTTCATCAACAAAATAGAGTGTGAAGCATCACAAGATTTCACGGCCATTAATGGAGGAATTTGTGGGCTCTGGCTTCTGGGTATTGCAAGATTAACTATCCCAAAGCTTCCATGACCGATTGTTCCACCACGTACCCACTCCATGGGTATGCTTTGACATAGTGAAGCTGAAGGAATGATTAGGGCAGTGAAGGTGTGAACAATCGGCCATGGAAGCTTAGGGCAGTGAAGAAATAGTGAAGGTGTGTGTGTGTGTGTGTGTGTGAGAGAGAGAGAGAGAGAGAGCTAGTTGGGGGAATGGGGAACGATTAGGTCAATAAGGCAAAAATGCTAAAAAGACCAAAAATTCAATTTTTATATTAAATAAATAAACCCGGGCGGTTTGACGATTTTTACCGATTTTTTCCCGGGTCGCCAAGTTTACTCTGGTTTTGGTGCATAAACGATCCAATAGGTGAATTAAGGTGGGTTTTGCCTTTAGATTTTAGGGATATAAGATTTTTCTTCATGCTCTTAAGGTGTCAGATAGATAGATTTTTCTCTCAAGAAGCTTACCCTAAACATATGAAGGCTACCCTCTATTTATATGCTTGAAATAGTTATAGCCTTGGGGACCAAGTAAACCAAAATTCGCGAATGATGGATTGAATACTTAGATGGCGGTGGCTGCTGGAATGAGATAAGCATTCAAATCATAACAGAAGAGCAAGAACCAATCAAGCGATCTCAAGGCCGCCCGAGCTATCTCAAGGCTGCTTGAGCAGCCTAAGTGCAACCAAAAGGGTTGTATGCACTGGCCATCCGTTCAGCTTTATCCTATTTTGTCCCTAAGTATTCTGAGACAGGTCTAGCCAACAATTAATAAGCAAAGGGTGGTCCCAACTGATATTTAAGCTAGAAATCAAGCAAAATTTGTCCCATTGAACACTAAAATGTGTTGTTCAAGTAGGACCAAGTAAAATAAAATTCACGAACGATGGATATCCCAAAGTATTATGAGACAAGTCTAGCCAAAGAAAAATGAGCATAGGGTGGTCCCTACTGGTTTTTAAGGTAGAAATCAAGCAAGCCTTTCCCCTCGAGCACTAAAATGTGTTATTCAAGTGGGCTCCGATTAATTACTCAAATCTATTTTTTCAAAATACAAGACAATTTACAAAAAAATTTCCTTGAAGAATACCTAGAAATCATTAACGAATCAATCACTGATTTCATTTTAACTTAATCAACCTAGGTTTAAAGTTAAACCATGAGAGCTAAGGTATCTAAGTCCATTACCACTACGAGAAAAATGGTTTGTTGCTTCGGAGTTATTTGCTTCAGCCTAATGCCAAAGCAAAAAATGAGTTTTTGCTTTGGTTAAGAGAGGTGAAACAAAAAATAGAATATTTGCATCGACATTAGGCCGAAACAAAAAAATTTAAAGCAAATATTCAAAAAAAATTTGCTTCGGCTAAATATTGAAGCAAACACTATATTTTTTGCTTTGGCATAATCTACCGAAGAAAAAAATAAGAGAATTTGCTTCAGCATTCAACCAAACCAAAAACTTATACAAGGAAAATGAGTTTTTGAGTCGGACTTTTTTCCTTCGGTTAAATGCCAAATCAAATACTCTATTTTTTGCATTGGCACGTTCTGTTGGAGCAAAAAATTCAGTATTTGTTTCGGCAAGATGTCTGAAGCAAAAAATATGAGTACTTGCTTCGGGATTAAGCTAAAGCAAAATAATCCAACCTTCTTTTCCCTCCTTCTTTTACGTTTTCCCCATTCCTCCTCTTCTACACCTCTCTTTCTCACAATCTGAAGCAATGAAAGCTACACCACCGCCGGCGACCCTCATCCTCTCTCTCTTCCACTTTCGCACAACCTCTCCCCTTTCTCCCTCATTTGCAATGCTTCCTCTCTCTCTTTCTCACACACACACACTCAACCAATTGATTTAGCACCATTGTCATTGTTTGCCACCGCCACCGTCACCATCACCGTATGCGACTGCCACCGTCTACCACTAGCACCTCCAAATTCAGTGTCATCGCCTTTCTCACTCAAGTAACTCTCTATCTTTTTCCCTCTCTCTACTCCTCTTCCCTTCTTTTTCCTCCTCCATCCCTCTGATTCTTCTGTCTCTCACCACCCCCAACATCTGCCATCACCCCAAGACCCCCACTATCTCCTGATCTTTATCTTCTAGAGTCCACACCAGCCAAAGGTTGGAATTAATTGATTTTTTGTTTGAAATTAGTGTAAACACACTTTCTGTTTGAAAATTGAAGTTAATTTTTGTCTGATATTATTTTTTTTTGGTTTAAAAGTGGGTTACTATTTTCATTTTGAAATTAGGGTTGATTTGTTTGATTTTGATTTTAATATCATAATTTGTATTTGGATGTGATTTTTTATTTCAATTCGGTTATTGACTACTGTTTGGTTGATGTTCCATGTGCGATCTATGTGATAAGCTATAGAGGCTAGAAGATAGGTGTATGTATATATGTGTTCACATATATATTATTGATATTCATAAAATACTAGCTAGAGCATATGTGCTCTTATGTTAAGTATATCTTTTGTTGTTTTACGTATGTTTGGAATTTATGTGGACTATTTACTTTCAATTTTATGTTCTTATGCACACACAAATTTGAGAGTGAAATTTTGGAGTAATTGTAGCATTTATATTTAATATCTGATTTTCTGATATTGTGTGTTTGTAACCTGAGAAGATTTTGGCCAATATCACATTTCTGCACTGTTAGCCTTTGTGTTTCTATGTTTTTTTTTTCTTGTCATTATGGTAAGAGAAGCTTCACTTGTGATGCTTATCACATGATTGATCCTCATCCAGATAGTGAGCTTCATGAATGCCTTTGACACATATGTGAGTGTATGTGTGTGTGTTGACATCAACAATGACGTTATTCCTGTTTTGGAACAAATTATTTTGGTCTCACACTAAGAAGATTATGGCCTTTAGTTTTTCGTTCCATTCAGGATATGTTATGTAACATCGTTGTACTCTTTGGTTTTGTGTGAATTTTATGTTTTGAATATAGTTAAATTGATGAAGTAGGAAATAGAGGTAAATCGATATTATGAAGCAAGGAAGCTATTTTGTGGATAGTGATATAACAAGCTAAGAAAGCCGAAACTGAAAGTAGAATTTGACAAATTAAATTGGAAGAGATGGGGTACTGATTCTTCATGCTTTCCTGATTGTGATAGATGGATGGCCTTTTTGAATATATTAATGAACTATCCTAGAATGCCACAACTGTAGAATATGACTTGGAATTTTCCAGCGTTAGCAAACATCTTTACTCTATCCATGATAGAGATCAATTGGTCTTATCTCCAAAAGAAAGGAAATTTAGGATTGTCATGCCAGGATACTTAAGATGTTGTTTTCTAGGATTCAGCACGGTTTTTTTGTTTTACTCATTGAAAGTTGTAAATGGAATGGTCATAATTCTAAGGGTTTGTTTATGGAAAAGAAAATAGATAGTTGCTTTCTTCTGGGTTTTGAGGTTGTATAATTGTTGGCTTTCTTCTAGGATTCTATAAATGTTGTATTCTATAAAGGATTCTTTTCCCCTTATGTTTGCAGGTTATCGTCGAAGGTGGGTGATGCAATGGGAGATAATATTTTTTTGGTTGCATTAGGAGAGAGTTATTTTTGTTCAATCATGATACTTTCAATAGGAATTATATAAATTTTTTGTACTTATGAAAATTTCGGCTATCATATACTTGTAAGAATTTTCAAAATTTCAATTTATGAATATTAAAATATTTCTATTTTACTATTTTTGGGTTGTCTTATAAATTATTTTTATATCTAATCAGTTTTTTAAATATTTATGCTTGTCAGAGAAAATATTGTTGTAAATAAAAATTATTTTTTTTAGGTAAAACGATTATTTGCTTCGGAAAAATAATGAGCCAAATGATCAATTTTTATTTTTACATTTGCAAAGAGTACTTGCTTCGGTATTTTGCTGCAGCAAAAGGTGACTATTTGCTTCGGTATAAAATGCTGAAGCAAAAAAATGACTATTTTTTTGGGCATAAAATGCCAGAGCAAATACCTGCTTTTTGTTTTGGGTTTTTTGCTTCGATAATTTACTGATGAAGCTAACTTTTTGTATTGGGCACTTTTTACTACGCCTTTTTTGCCAAAGCAAAAGTTCTTTTTTTTTTTGTAGTTTACCTTTGTCCTAAGCATGGAGGTGCATACAGAGAATATTGGTATGTCGTTGTAGGTTGAACTCCTCTCTTTATTTGATACTTTTAGATTTTTCATATTGTAGTATCATGACCATGAAATAAATTGAAATTTATATAAAGATTTCACGAAATTAGTTAATTATAAATATGATATTAACAAAGTTTTTATGGGGAAGGGGGGTGACATGATCTTGAGCAATGAGGAGTGTAAAGATAGTGTTGCTGGTTGTGTAGAGGGCCGTTGTTGGTGGGACGTCATTTCTATTGGAGGGAGGATGGAGGGTTTTTCTAGGGAGCTGTGGGTGGGATTCATGTTTATGCCAAAGGAAGGATGGAGTTTTTGCTGGTGGGAGAAGATGGATTTTGTTCAGAGGGTAAGGGCTTTTATTGGAGGTGGAGAGTGTTTGGCAGCAGGGGATGGATTCTTTTTTTCGGGAGGGGAGTGGTCGCCGATCTGGGAAGGGTGTGGTCCTCACTCCTCACTATTTTTGGATGGGTCGAGGGGAGTGGCGATCAGTAGTTAGGTTTTTTTAATAGTGATAAATAAGGGTGTCCATGGGTCGGTCTGGTCTCAGCTTGTAAATTTATTTCGTGTAGGGATAGGCTACCCGCGACCCAACCCGCCATTTACGGGGTGGGCCTAGTGGTGCGGGCCTATGGGTCTCTTGGGAGGGCCTGCAGGTGGACTTATTGGAAGGGCTTTTTATGTGTAACTTCATTTAAAAATAATAAATATTTTTATAACTTAATATGTTTATAAATTATACTTTTAAATTAAAAGTAGAGTCAACTGGACAAAAAGTAAAAAATAAATAATTTTATTTATAAATAGGAGAGGAACTGCATCACAATAGAATGAACGCATCCCAACTAAGTTTGCACCTACCTACCTATCTATCAATTGCACAAATTTACCCCTTTAAAACGTGTATGTTTAATACATAAAAAAAGAAAATAATACATTATTTATAATATCTAAATTTTTAAAACTTCAAATTCTGGCATTGGAGAACTTATTTCCATCTTTTGACTAGGTTGGGCAGGCGGGTGGGCTATTGAGCTGGGTTTTAGTGGGCTTTTTACGGGTGGGTTATTGGGCCGGATTTCAGACTAATTTTTTTTGGGCCTAATATTAGGAACTGGGGCAATTCGGCCCATGAACCCCCCTAGTGATAAAAAAAAAATGTGAGAAAAAATTGTCTCAAAATAAATGAGGGAAAAAAAAAGGTAATTTTCTCTATTGAAGAGACTTTAGAAGACTTAAATTTCAGGTGACTTATTGCCAATAATTTGGACGGTCAAAAATTACCAGCAAGAGTTAATTGGAACAATGTTCAAATTGTAAGGAATTGTTTTTTGAAATTAAAAGGGGAGCTAATTAAAACATGATTCAAACTTAAAGGGAACAAGTTACAATTAACCCTAAAATTAAAAGCACAAGCCAATCAAATAATTGGCACAACTAAGTTACCCATACCGGGGGAGAGAGAGAGAGAGTCATAATCAGACTTCCCAACCCGGTGAGTTGACAAGGATGAATTTTACCACTCATGACTAGTAAAATTATGACTTTTTGATGGGAAAATGAGACAAAGAAATACTTTCACGTTCTGTTATTGTATGGAAATGATTTAATAAGAAGGTGCATTTCACCATCAATGGGTTCCACATCAAGACGTTGAAAATTTGGTCATCTCATAAATAATTTGGGTATATATGACAACACTACCACGGGAATTTTGTGCACCAAAAAGCTCATTTTTTTAAAGAAAATTTATGCCACCAACAAATGTGATGACTAAGAAGAAAAGATGATTCTTTTTTTTTTTTTGGGCAAAAAAAGAAGATTTTATATCACTCTAATACTAATTATTTAAATGCTAAAACGGATATTATGAATTCGAATAGATCCACCGCATTTTAGGGGGCCCTCCAGAATTAAGATATTGATGATGCAAAAATCTGTATTACGCAAAATCAGCAGTCGAGTATGTCAAGACACACAATTAATGAGCAATAAATAAACAATCAAGGGCAGAAGAGTAAATATGGAATCAACACAGAGATTTATAGTAGTCCGGTTCGGGTGACCTACTCTACTCTCGAAAACTACAGCAGTGGCCGGAGATTTTTATTGATAAATAAAAGTCACTAGGAGAGTTACAATGCTTTTGAGAGAGAGAGAGCAATATATGTAAGAAGGTGAAGTGTGTGTAAAGATCTCAAGGTGTAGAGGCCTCAAAGTGGTGTCAAGATTTTAAGGTGATGCCCTTTATATAGAGAGGACTTACATTATATAGGTTTAGTAAGGCGGTGAGGTGGTGACGTGAGGGAGATGACTTCTACTATTTTGGTGAGTACAATTATGGTAATATTAGATCTCCGAGCATATTCCGATATTCTCTCCTCGCGCTCCTATTTTGTGGAAAGAGGATCCTAAGCTGGACCTCCTGAGTTGAGTTAGACCTCTGAGTTGAGTTGGATTTGAATTGGAGTGGTGAAGTCAATAGTGCGAAGGATTGCGCAGGAGAGGGAAAATGAAACTAAGGAGGGAAAGGATCCCCTTGGGATGACCCCCCTTAGGCAGCCCCTTTGGGTAGCCCTTTGGGCGACGCCCCTTTGGGGTGTCCCCCTTGAACTCCTCCTTGACTTGATGACTTGGGCTCCGAGATGATTTGGATTTTGAGATGACGTGAGCCTCTCTTGATTCGTTGGGCTTGGCCCAGTTAGTTTCGGGCTCATCAAATACTACAGTGGATCTTAACTTGAGAAAATGACAAACATATATGTCATTGTTCCGCGAAATAGTTATTCATAAGTCTATTAAATCTTGATATTAAGGTAAATTTCTTGATGGAAAAAATTAAGGAATGACAACCTACCTAATCTAATCCACTAGTCTCAAAGTTCGATTAAACTCCAAAGAAGGGCATACCAAAGATATTTTGTCAAATTGATTGGGGTACATAAAATCGAATTGGACAAAAATAAAAAATGATCATTTTTTGAGACCCGAGGTGATGTAAATCGAGAGTTCAAAAGGGCAGGGGTTAAAGATTTATCTATTGTTTGGAAGGAAAAAATGGTTGGGGAAGCATTAAAACTTACGACCATTCAAAAAATATTAATCAACAATGGGTTGGTACTTGGTAGTACCCCCCATCATGACTTTGAAGGAAAGTTCATCTTGCAAATGATTCAATCATTATTTTTCAACGCCCTTTACGCTTGTGCCATTGATTAAGGCAAACTCACGTTTTAAAGCCAAATACTGAGTCACATGCCATAGATTTAGGCAGCCGTTGTCTTTCATTGTTTCACATACACAACCAAGTGAATGTTTCTTTAGATGATATGTCAAAGGTTCATGTTTGGGTAACGAATTCTTTAATATACGTCAGAGTACTTATTACTTACATCTTTAGACCCACTATAGGCAAGATAAGTTTTTATATTTTATTTTGATTCATTGCTTTTTTCGATTAAAAAAGACATTCCACTTCCTTCATTATGGGCACCAGGTACATAGCAATGCTATGCATAATTTTCATGTGGGGTTGCAGTAAGACTCTAGGCAACTTTTTGTTGACAGAGACACCATACCCATGTGGGATCCTGCATTTTTAAATTGGTTAATTTAATATTCATGTGATATGGTAAAAGATTTTAAAAGTCTGATATATATAATATATCCTTTTCAAATTTTAGTGAAAATATTTTGAAATAAAACTTGTGTTATTTATAAGCATGATGTAAGATGCTATGACATTACACTTTGAGGAGGGTTGATCCTTAAAAATCAAGGAAGAATGGGGATTCACATTGGAAGACTTTTGAAGTAGCAACGTGTTTTCCAACGACGATTTTTATAGTGATGTAGAAAATATTCATGTTATTTGGTTATCACTAGAAGTAACTTAGGGTTAAAATTAGTTCCGAATATGTTTATCTTTGATATAAAGTTTTACATAATAAAGTATATATTTATAAAGTCTGACTTACATTTAATAGTTTTAAGTTATTATATGAGGTCAATCATAGAATTTGATTCCCGTTGGAGTTGAGTTTTGGGTCAACTTGAGATATCAGAGTAACTAAACTTAGGAGGTGTTAATAGGTAATTTTTGAAAAGTTTTTAGGTTAAAATAATTTAAAAATAGATTCGAAACATCGAAAAACCTTAGATTAGATCAATGAGGAATCCGGTCAACTGGACCAAGTTTCTGGTCAAGCCATTTTTCGGCAGGATGATCAGGTAGCTAGCTGGCCAGATTAGGATCCGGCTAACCAGAGAGAAGCCCCGTAAGCCTAACTTTAGCCATATTTTTCATCTAAAGCACCACTAATGCTCCTTAGAGAGAAATAGAAACAAAGAGAAATGAAGGCGGCTAGGGGTCTGGATAATTGGATTTACATATTGAATTTAGGATTTCGTCGGATCGGGTACACGTTGAGGTGGAGTTTTCTGTCATTTTCCTAATCATTGAGGCACTTCACGAAATATCATGGTTCCTTAGTTTATACTACAAATCTTATATGTTATTGGTATATCTAAACGTTAATGGAGATTTAGATGAAAAAGCATGAATTTCATTGTTTATTTTATATGTCCTCTAATGGTGTTAATTACGTGGATAAATAGAACTAATGAATCATGCAAGTAAGACTAGATCAGGGCTACTAGGTTCGAGAGGATTACAGTAAAAATTCTTGGGGAATTGGAAGGATTTGCATAGTGAAATTATAATGGTTCACCAGCTTGGGAGCTCGGTTAATCCACTCTTTAATAGAGTCTCTTGATCCTTGGATATATATTAACGATCTGAGCAATTTATAGAGGGCTTCTGATTCAACTAGGATTGTTCTTTTTCATTGGAGGCATTGTACCAGTATTTATAGCCTAATTCCTAACTTTATAGGATATGTAGCAAGATCTTTGTGTTCCATACATCGAATCTCTCTTGATTTTAGGGAGAGGATCTTGGTTAGTTTAGAGTTTCATGAGCTTTTTGTTGCTTCGAGGGCGTCTTCCTCCAACTAGTTGTTTCCTTCTTATTTCCTTTTATCGTTTCCTCTGTGGGGAGCTCAAGGTTTGGACCACTGAGCCTTGGATAGCTTCTCTGACCTCCTTATTTGACCTTTCTTCCTAAACTCATACTTAGCTAGAATTCTTTCTAGATATCATCAGTTGCCCCCTAACCCTTGATCCAGTTGGGCATGGATAGGGGTTGAGCTATGACGAGGCCGATCGGATCTTTAAATGGTGACCTCGATTTGCGCGTGGAGGGTGCTTTTTGACAATTTTCAGCAATCATTTTTTTCTCCTTTTTTGTGCATGTTTTGTCCCACGTTCTTTGAACTTTAAATATCCCCATGCTGACAAACACTGCCTCATTTCCCTGTTCAACTTCCTTCTTTAGATTCTCTCTCTCTCTCTCTCTCTCTCTCTCTCTCTTGTGAACTTGGCTCTTTGATTCGTCGGTGTACTTTGATTTTCACCGAAAAGTTGACTTTCCCTGGTTTG